TTGTCAAAAATTTTAATTAAATTCTTGGCAAAATTTCAATTATTCAAACAAAATTTAATAAAATACTTTGCACGAATTCAATTATTTTTATAAATTTTAATTAATTTTTCGTCAAGAATTCAATTATTTTTATAAACAGCAAAATTCTTCTCATGAATTCGATTGTTTTCAAAAATTATTATTTAAATTCTTTTCAAGAATTCAATTATTTTTAAAAAATTTAATAAAATTCTTCAAAAAGTTTTCAATTATTTTTAAAAATTTTAATAAAATTCTTCAAAAAGTTTTCAATTATTTTCAAAAATTGTTATAACATTCTTTAATGTAATAAATTTTATTAAAATTTTAATTAAATGCCTTAAAAGAAATTAAATATTTTCAAAAGTTGTTAAAGAAAGAATTATTTATTATTAATATTATTAAATTTAATGATTTCTTTATATAATTAAAATTTCACAGGAATTCAATTATTTAAAATAGAATTTGCATAAATTTTGTCGAGAAAAAATATTATTTAAAAATTACGTTATAATATTTTCCGCAATAATTCAATTACTTTCATAAATAATAAAATTCGTTTTAGAAATTCAATTATTTTTATAAATAATATAACTTATCGTTGAATTTCAATTTTTTTAATACAATTTTAATTAAATTCATCAAAAAATGTAATTATTGAAATTCGTCAAAAGAATTCAGTTATTTAATAATTTGTTGATGAAATTCTTCATGAGAATTCAATCTTAAGTAACATTCATTTATACAATAAATTATTTATTTTTGTATTTAAGTAATTGAATTATCTATTAGAAATTGATTTAAAAATGAATTTCATTTAAAATTTTAGATAATATTTGAATATTAAAAGCATTATTGTATGAAAATTTTAGAAATAATTGAATTTTAATAAATAAATTTTGAAAAGGTTTTAAATTAAAATCTTTAAAAATATGAATTTTTCATACTTTTAACTAGAAATTCTGAAGAATTAATTTTTTTTTTTAAAGTTTAATATTGCACTTTTTTTGAAATTAATTAAAGTTCAAGTCATCTTTTATTTATAAAGTTATGTTAAAGGGTTGAACGGGTTATTCATTCTTTAAAGATGTTTTATTTCATTGTACTTTGCCTTAAAGTGCTTTTTATAATTTTGTCTGCCATATTTAATCAGCCGTTTTGAAATTTAAAAATTTGCCAAAAAACTATTTTATGTTTTAGGTTCCTCTGTTTTTGTTAAGTTCTATTTTTAATTATCGTTTTTTAAAATACAGCTTTTGATTAAAATTTTAACAGAATTTATTTTTTTTAATTTTGTGAATAATGTAGGTACTTTTTTTTTTTATTATTGTCCTGAAATAAAATTGTTGTTCCAAAAAAATATAATTGAGAAATTTTTTTTGCCCAATTAACGAGATGTGAAACTGAATTGATATTAAGACACTGTTAACTTATAATTATCAAATTGCAACGAATTTGATGCCAAAAATGATGATATAATAAAAAATTGATCTCAATTTTTGCCATTAATTTGATACTTAAAAAAAAACAGTGTAGTATAAAAATGTCTGATGGTAACAACCTGTTATTGTTAATAAAGAAAAAAAAATGTTTGTTTAACTTGAATTTGATAAATTAACTAAAATGTGATGTGATATTTATGCTGTGGGTGTGAAAAGTTTTCTACATTTACATAAATTTTGGATGCACTTATTTATAATCGGAAATTAAGGAAAAAGAAACTTATCCTGTAATTTGAATTTATTGTTAAAAAAAAAGTTATATATCGAATTCGGAAATGAAAACCTCGAATTTTTCAGATTGTAATTAATGTACGGTACTGTACAATTAGAATATAGAATGTAATGAGAAAACAGCATGGAATGCGCTAGAGAAATAATAGCGAAAATGCTAAACCACTTGGAAATGGAAAATCGCACAATTTTATTGGATAATATAAAGAAATTTTACAAATATTTTTCTCTCCATTTTGCACAAGCGAAAAATTTCCAAGTAACGTTTAACATTTTGGCGAAATAAATATCGGCGTAAAATGCGTGTGAGAAAATATGAAGATGAATATCGGCGACAGTGCGATCGAATATGCGTGTAAATGTAATTCTTTAATGCGGCAAAAAAAGAGAGCGAAAGATGAAGAAAGAAAGAAAGAATGTGAAAAATATGATAATAGAGTTGATGATGATGATGATGATGATGAATTAAATTCAAGTGATGCTGAAAGGAGGTTCCAATGACTTCCGATGATATTGTGTTGAGAAGAGAACGAAATAAAATATAAATTCCGAGTATTGAGGTGAGAGAGCATGTAAATTTCATGTAAAACAGAAAACGAGTGCATTTTGGCATATATTTTTGAATGAAGGGTCCGCGAATTTTTGAGTGCGAATCGCTGAGCGAAAGTGCCATAAATTTCTTCTACTAGTCTTTTCGTTCGAGAAAATAACGTGAGATGAATTTTTTTCCTTGAAAAGGAGAGCATGCATGTCAACGTGTCTTTCCGTTAGGATGAAAATAGACGAGAGAAAGAAAAAAGAATTCAACTAAAATCAGTTCTGACGCTTTCGTCAAAGAAAAAACGAAAAAAATAATAATGATCAGCGATCACTGATCACTTCGCTCGAATAAAAATATTTCACTGAAAATTCAATCCTTGCTTCATACCTATCATTTTTTAATTCATTTAATTTAACTTTTTTTCTTAAGTAATTTAAGTTAAAACTTTTTTTTAAAAACTTTTTTTTAAAATTATTTACCTTAGGTAGGTACTAATCTAATCCTTCGTTACAAATGCTTTACAAATAGGTAAAAATTCTTATATTTTTAAGAGTCTTTAAATTTATTTTTTGTCACTGATGCAAAAAATTTTATTTCGTTTAAAAGAAAATATTTTATTTCAGATTTTATTTAAAAAAAAAATGAGTTAAAATTTCTAAAGTCTACTAACCTGAAATATAGATTTTCGAAACAGCGAATTTTTGAAAATTCGTCATTATACAACAGAATTAAATACATTTTTTAGAAGGTTTTCTGATTCTTTTTTAAATGGTGTATAAATTTTTAAAAAAAAATGCAATATTTGACACTTTATTTGACAGACGAAAATTATTTTTACTTCTTTTTAAAAAGGAGCCTTTTTTTTCCTTTTCTGTAGACTTAAAATATTGCTTCCCACATAGCATTCAATTATTTTCAAAAATTTTAATAAAATTCTTTGGCGAAATTTCAATTACAGATTTTCAAAAATTTTCCTTAATTCAATGTCTTTCAATATCTAATAATTTAATAAAGTTTTTCAAAAGAATTGAATTATACATATTTAAAAAAAAATTTTAATAAAATTCTACTCAAACATTTAATTATTTTCATCAATAATAAAACTCAGCATAGAATTTCAATTATTTTTAATAGAATTTTAATCGTATTTCTAGAAAAATGTAATTATTCTTCAAAATTTTATTAAAATTCCTCGAAAGAATTCAATTATTTGAAAAATTTGTTGATAAAATTCTTTATGGGAATTGAATTTTAAGAAACATTCAATTATTCAATAAATTATTTATTTGCATTTTATTTGTATTTAAATAATGGAGTTCTCGTAGAATTTTCTAATAAAAATTGATTTAGAAATTAATTTCAGTTCAAATTTTAGATAATAATGGAATATGAAAAGAATTATAGCTTGAATTTTTAGAAATAATTAAACTTTGAAAAGCTTTCAAATTAAAATCGTTGAAAATCTAAAATTTTCATATGTACTTTTAATTAACAATTCTGTAGAATTAATTTTTATAAAAAAAATTTATTTGAATTTTTTTCAAATTATTTAAAAGTTTTATTTACTAATATACATTTAATTAAAGAATTTTCGAATAATCGAAATTTCGTAAAATCAAATTAAAAAAAAAATGGATTTGAAAATTTTCAAAGAACTTTTTCAAAAATTATTTAAAATAATTGACTCAAAGAAAAATTTTAATTAAGAATTTCAGAAAATAATAATTCAAAATTGAATTCATGAAATTAATTTTGAAGAAGTTGTTACAAATGACTGCATCAGAAATTCAATTATTTTCAAAAGAAATAAAATTCTTCGTTTCAATTTTGTTCAAAAACTTAAAAAAAATTCTTGTCAAAATTTCAATTATCTTTATTAATAAAATACTTCTCCAAAATTCAATTATTTTAAAATATTTTAATAAAATTCTTTTTAAAAATTTCAATTATTTTCAAAAATTTTCCTCAAATCAATGATTTTCAATACCTAGGTAGTATTTCAATAAAATCCAAAATAATTCAATTATTAAAAAAAAAGTTTAATTTACGCAAATATTTAATTATTAGATATTATTGAATTAATATTGAATTATTTTCATAAATAATAAAAATTTCTCAGGAATTCAATCATTTACAATTTTTTTTTTATAAATTTTTTCGCAATCATTCAATTATTTTCATTATATTAATAAAAATTTTTACAGGGATTTAATATAGGTAATTTAATACAATTTTAATCGAATTTCTCGAAAAATATAATTAGTCTTAAAAATTTTATTAAAATATTATTAAAATTCAATTATTTTGACCTTAAATTTACATTCATAATTATTGAAAAAGTTGTTGATAAAATTTTAGTTACAAATCATAGAAAATAATAATTATTGAATTGAAATGATGAAGATATAATTTTAAAGAAGTTACAGTATAACAATATTCTCATAATATAAAGTAATTATTTTAACACTCGGCCATCTTTAATTATTATAAGTTATTGAATTTTAAAAGGTTTAAATATGAAATTTTCGAAAGTATTGATTTCTATGGAAAAGTAATAATAATTAAAAATTTTTTTGAAAAAGATTTATTCATATTTTCGAATAATTATTAATTTTACATTTAAAGAAATTCGTAAATAAATGTAAGCAAATGAAAATTAATTTTTTTGAGAAATGGGCGGGGAGGGGGGGTTGGGTCATATGTAAATTTAAAGAAATTAAAATTTTTCATTGTCAACTATTCGTTTATATGATATTTAGATACAATGAAATGTGTAGAACATTTTTTATGCTACCCGTATTGAAATATCGTAAAATACCAACCAACATTTTTTTTATTTGCTTCAACGTACTTTAAACTGAAAATGTCAATAAAATCCCAGATTTAGGCGATTAAATACGAAAAAAAACTTCTTGCATCAGAAAAATACGACTTTGCCATGCGTCATTGGCGATCGAGCTTGAAATCATTCCTGTAACATCATGTGTCAGCAGTGTCCCTAATCTCCTTTAAGTACCCTTAACCCAATTGAATTATCTATCCCCTTCTTAGACGCTCGGTTGTCATATCCGTTGCAATGCTGCATTTTTTTTTTTGCCGGCCTCAGTCACCGCGGTTGGAACATGCGAATAGTGAATCGACTGCTAATTAGAAATAATTGCAAGAAATCAATATCCGAAGAAGATTACACTGAAGGTCGTTGGCCTGTCGGTGGTAGAATAGTTTTCGGAGTCTTCATCAATATTATTTTTTTTAATTCGTGAATCGTCGTCACAAACCCCGAGGATCTTAAATAAAAATCATACTTCATTGTGAACTTGTAAGGGGGCTAATGCATGTCACGTGACGTTTTTCTAAGGTCTCTCCGAAGTTTCGGTTTTGTGAAAATTGCCGAGAACTCCAAATATGCACCTGCCGGATGATGCCCCATCGCCAGATGGCAAGGAATCTTCTTCGACGGCAGCAGCCGATGATGATGTGAGTATTCAATTTTGATAATTGCTCAATTCTTCCTTAGAAAACTTTCAAGTGGACGAATATTTTTAGGCATTCAAAATTTAACTATTATTTTTCAAATTCATCCTTTCGTGACCCACCGAGAAACCCAGCGATTGGATTTTGTTGAAACTTGTTACTCTGGTGTTTCTGGGGGCACTGATAACGAATCTTAAGTCAGATTTTCAAAATTTTGAAAATTCAAAATGGCGGATCCAATATGGCGGACATTTTTTGAAAATTGCTCAAATTTACCAAAAACTTGTTACTCGGGCCTTTTTAGGGACGTTGATTACGAAGCAGATTTAAAAAATATGTCCACCATTTTGAATTTTGAAAATCTGTTTTCGGGGTCGCTGATTACGAATCTGGTCAGATTTTCAAAATTTTCGAAATTAAGTATCACATGCCTTATGAATTTTTTTGAAGTTAAGTTAAATCTCGAATCTCAGGATGCCTTTGATCTTGATGACTTATTACCGGTTGTGGGAGAGTTTGGTCGCTATCAGAAGCAACTACTATGGCTGATTTGCTTGCCAGCATGTTTACCATGTGGCTTTTGTGCATTTAATCAATTGTTTATGGCGAACACGCCAGACCATTGGTGCAAGGTTCCAGGACTTGAAGGTCTGGACCCAGCGAAACGAAGAAGTCTCGCAATTCCCACCAATCAGGTCTGATAAGAATTGAAAGTCAAGTTTCAAAACTATGCTATAGACTACCCTGCTAATGTGCCTACATTTTTCTTATATTCAACCTTGAAATATATAGTACCGTATTAATAACTAGATTTAAAAAAATAAATGATTTTGAGTATATAAAAAAATCGAATGTTATTACAAACAGTTTTATGCTTAAATTGTTTTTTTTACCGATTGAATAAAAACAATTAAGGCATTGAACGTCTAAACTTGTCTATATAATATCTCTTATCATAAAGAATCGTTTCTTCATGATAACATTTAGAGTAGATAATTTTGAAGAAAATTTATTTCTCCTATTCATGCGATTTTGTTACCTTGACCTTCGAGGGTGCATAGATTTCACTTCCACATTCCTCGCTCTTTTAGATGTAGTTGGTATTGTTATACATATATTTTTTGTAATTGATCTACTTACGTTTTCATATTATGTAATTTTCTATTATTTTTAGAATCATTATTTTAAAATAATTGTAATTTCACATAGTGATTTTAATATTATTATTTTAAATTAATTAACATGTAAAATTCATTAAAATCAATTTTTTAGATTGCCTAAAGTAGGATCCTCTTTAAATATGAGGAACACTTAAGATTAAAAAAATTGAAATTGGAACATGATGAAGACGAGAGATTCCTTTTGTAGGCTTATCCTTCTAGGCTATCTATATAGGTTTTAGGAATAATTGTATGTTTAATTTGTTGCTGTAATATTATGTTGTAAATGGTTTAACAGAATTTTTTTTAATTCTTAAAAAGTAATGATTGAATTTAAATTCAAAAAACAGGATGACAATGCAACATACAGCCAGTGCACAAGGTACGATGTGAATTGGACAGATCCAGCTATTTTGGAGAGAGATACTATGACTCCTAATTCCTCCTGGCCTGTGGTACCCTGCGATCATGGTTGGGAATATGACATGTCAGAAGTATTGTCTTCGATAGTTATTGATGTACGTAATCCATTAGAAATTGAATTGTAATCATTATTTGTTTTTTAGAATTATAACGAGATTTATGAAAATTGTCTCATGATTGGAATTTCTACCTCACCAATAATAAATTCAAGTTTCCTTTATTTTTCAGTTTGATTTGGTTTGTGACTATGCGATTTATCCAACTCTTGGCTTGGTGGCTCTCAATACTGGAGGTCCGATTGGTGTCTACCTTTTCGGTACACTAAATGATAGGTATAATTAATTATTTTAAATGCGTTTCCACTTTTAAGTTACTCACCATAAAAAATATATACTTTTTCTCACACGACTTCACTTATAATATTCAGTCCTCCTTTATGAATAGGATAGGTCGAAGACTCTCGTTTTTTACTTGTTTGGCAACTCTAATTGCTGGTGGATTTTTAACATCAATATCTAATAGCTTCTGGACCTGGGCAGCTTGTCGAGTTGTTGTCGGACTCACCATTCCAGCAATCTATCAAATTCCGTTCATAATCTGTAAGAGTCTTAATTTAATTTTTTTAACAAATTTCATTTAGCATCTGACAAAGCATAATGGTCATCATAGTTTTTAATTGTAGTATGTAAAATTTATAAAAGGGTTCACTAGTTGTATCATGAAAAAAAATACTATGTATGGACTTAAATAAATTAAATTTTCTGCATAACGTCAATCAAAATCTGACGCTTTCAACATAAAATTAGAAATTTAATTTACAACAAAAACCCTAAATATTACAACTGGTTTACCCCTTTTCAACTAACGAATAAATAATTAGACAAATTTTTCAAAAAGCGTTAGAATTAGTTGGACCAAACTATCGATCTTTCGTCACTGTCATGACCTGCTCTTTCTATACCATGGGTTTGTGCATGTTGTCTGGTGTCACTTATTTGGTGCGAGACTGGAGGACATTAGCCGTAGTCACCAGTGCGCCATTTTTACTATACTTCTTCTATTGGTGGTCAGTTTTCTATCTCTTGGTCATTTCATTTTTTTTCCTTTTGCTTTATTCGATTTAATTTTAACAAGCACCACAAGTTAACCTACTTGGAATGTAGTTATTCATTTCCTATAACCTATCTTTATGATTATTTGCCTTTTTTAATGCTGCTAAATTAAAGTTTATTTCTTTAATTTTATATTTTTGTATATGCCCACACAGCAGCGAAAATTTTCTGAAAGTTGAAATCAAGTTTCATGCGTTTCGACGGTTGCAATAAACTTAATTTCAATTTTCCCGCTTAAAAACCAAAGATGTTAAAAAAGTCAAAATTTTGTAACACTAGAACAATCTTTCTTAACCATTAGAGAGATCATTCTTTGGTGTCTAAATATTCTCTAAATCGTAATTCCGAAGCCCTGAATATGTCGATTTCAAAATAGCGATATAAAGAAGTCATATTTAGACATAAAAGAATGATCTCTAATGGTTAAGAAAGGCTGTCTAGAATTCAAAAATTTGGATTTTATTAACATCCTCTTTTCTGCTAAGATAACAGGAAGTTTGGTAACGGGCATATAGGTTTCTTCCAGAATCACCACGATGGCTTCTAGCGAAAGGACGCCTTAGTGAAGCTAATGAAATTCTAAAAACTCTAGCCAAAGTTAATGGAAAAGAACTTCCCGAGTCGTTCACTCAAAAACTTCATCAGAGAATGACGATGACAAGAACGAAAAGCGAAGAAGAGAGACTTCGTAATGGTCCCGGAGTGCTCTCCCTTTTCAAAACACCAAACATGCGATTGAAGACGTGCCTTATTACTCTTAACTGGTAAGCATTAATTTTTACACTTACCCTTACATCCTTCCTTATACTTACCTTACGGGAAAAAAATTCCCATAAAATTACTTTTACGGGAAGTAAAAGTAATTTACAATTTTGTATTATAACATTTCTTTAGGTTCGCCAACAATATGGTGTACGTAGGTCTGTCATATTACGGACCAGCACTTGGAAACGAGGAGCATCTCAGCTTTTTCTTTTCCTCCCTTGCCGAAATTCCAAGTTATCTTGCTTGTTGGGTAGCAATGGATCGCTGGGGTCGAAGATGGCCCCTTTGTCTCTGCATGGTGACTGCCGGAATATCTTGTATAGGGACTGTTCTTCTTTCATCCGGTAAGATTTCTAATTTTCTCGAAATTTACTAAAGAGAAATATTCGAATCCTAAAAGAATCTTCGCTTTTATGGAACTTTTAAAAATTTTTAATTTTGTAAATCAAAAGAGTTAAAACCCTCATAAGAATAAATTATTTGCCTTCAGATGCAGTTGTGGCGACATTAGTCTTGTTCCTTCTATCAAAATCAGCAATATCAGCTTCTTTTCTCATTATTTATCCATTTGCTGGCGAACTCTATCCAACTCAACTTCGAGGAGTGGCGATTGGATTTTCTGCCTACATCAGCGGACTGGGACTTATTATTATTCCTTTCATTACTTATTTGGTAAGGTCACATCTTATAATAATTCATTACATTAGATCCAATTAAAAAATTATATAAAAGTATATGAGCAAAAACTGCAGGTCGTACATGCCAAGAAATTCTAGAAACCATCAAACACTCTAGAATATTATAAAACAATTTTACTAAATGAATTTTTCATTTCAGGGAAGAGATAATTTAGTATTGCCGTTAGTTATTTTGGGAGTGGTGTCAGTAATTGGTGGAGTTTCAGGCCTGAGATTACCGGAAACTCTGCATCATAGACTCCCGCAGACTGTAGAGGAGGGTGAGCTTTTTGGTAAAGATTGGACATGTGCAGACTGTCTTCGTTGTGTTCCACCAAAGTAATTACATTATTCTTCAATATTTAAATATTAAATTTTACAATTAGTCCTTAACTTTTCCTTCTTGAACCATAAATTTCGCAGATTTTGTTGTCACCAATTCAATTTCAATCTTAAAAATGATTTGCTTCTTTTGAGCCCGCTGCTTGTTGTTTACCCGAAAAATATACTGAACTCGATTGGATGTGATTTGAAAAGTATTTTCCCTAACACCCGCTCTGAAACTGCAATACTTTCAAGGGTTACAAACCGTGGCGAAAGTGATACTTTTCACAACAGTTGGAAAAACCGTGGCGAAAGTAAATTGCTGGAGAATCTGTAGAATTTACTTATGTATTATTGTTATTTTTATTTTAAAAGATTAAAATAATCCATGATGGTATTATTTTTGACGGAATAACATTTTACTAACCAACTAAAGAAACTAACGAACTAAGTAACTAAATTAACTAACTTACTAAGTAAGAAAATTAACTAAACTATCTAGCTAAAGAAACTAACTAGCTAAAGAAACTAAGGAACTAACTAACTTACTAACTAACAAAACTAATTAAACTAACTAACTAAACAAACTAACGAACTAAGTAACTAAATTAGCTAACTTACAAACCAATCAAATTAACTAAACTAACTAGCTAAAGAAACTAACGAACTAACTAAACTAACTAACTGACTGACTAACTAAACTAATTAAACTAACAAACTAAAGAAACTAACGAACTAAGTAACTCAATTAACTTACTAATTTACTAACTAACTAAAATAACTAAACTAACAAACTAAGTAACTAAATTAACTTACAAACAAACTTAATTAACTAATTAACAAAATAAACTATCTAAATTAACTAACTAAATAACTAACTTATTACAAAATAAGTTTGTATACATAATTTATTGTGTTATTTTCGTGTTTACTATTTATTAACTTGTATAAAATTTCCAAAGCAACCTAAAATGTTATTAAAAATGAAATTGTTAGTTACAATTATAAAAACATCCAACATGCATTTCCTCGCAAGGCGTTAGGGAAATCGTTATGTACAACTCGTGGTGAAAGAATGATTTTACGAGAGGGATTTTTTTTTTTATTTAATGGCTTTTTGCAAAGCAGATAGCCAAAACACAATTTTACGAGAGGGAAGCTTGCTGCTCGAGCGTAGCAAGAGCAGCAAACTTCCCTCTCGTAAAATCACTCACTTTCACCACTAGTTGTACAATGTACTATTTTTAATATTTTTTAGACAAGCATCAGCAACAACATCATATGAAGATCTTTCAGCGTGTGAGACAATGGAACTACATGATTTGCCAGATTTACCAAAACTAGAGGAGCAACGTTCCTCAGCGAGTGTTCGTCGACTAGTTCGTCAAACAAGTGTTATGGACACTCAACGAGATTCCGATGGTTCAATTAAAATGACTTACTGGTTTTAACCAGAAGCACATTTCTCTTCTTTCTTTTCTCTTCTTTTTTTAAAAAAAACAACATCCGAATGGAAAATGACATATTCACACAAAACTTGGGAGATTTCGTGAGAGAATCGAATTTTTATTTATGATGTGTGTACAAAATCAAAGAATAGAAGAAATTCGGACGATACTTAAGGGAATCGATTGTCCGCTCGTCGGCGTTTCTTCATTCTGCCGACTTCACAGCCGAGTGGTCCTGTTATAACAGCTAGAAAAAAAAGTGAAAACAAGTACAAATTAATTTTTTTATTCCAACTTGTATTTTACATAATTTCATTAAAATTTATAATTTTTTTAATTTAATTTTTCTTTAGTAAATATTTCACATTTAGAAAATATTAGTTATTCTAATTCTGTTTATGAAATTTGGCTTCAAAGAAATTAGTTTTTTTTTTTAAATTGTATGAAATTGAATTTATAAATATGAATTAAGTGTGCAAAAAATTGAATATAAAACTTTTAATTGAAAAGAATATTTATCTTCTGTCTTTACCTTTCCAGTAATCGACGTTTTAAATCAGGTGGATAAGCAACGTATATGTAATGGTCTGGCATCTCCTCGCCTGAAATTGCTAATGATTCATCTAGAATCTCTTTTCTTCTGTCGTCCAGTCTTCCAGATCCGTGTATGCCTGGTTCATTGTAGTGTGAAGTAGTAAAATCGGTACTGTGATTGTACTTCGTATTTCTACTCTCGTTATCAATCATCGAATCCTCTGCCGAGCTAAAAATTGAAAAATTTCTTTAATTCATTGTCATCTAAATTTCTTTCAACTTTCATATATTAACCCATTAACGACCAAGCGGACGAAAAATTACCATTCACTTTAATCATTCTGTTTTGTATGAAAATTGCATCAGGAAAAAATTGCATATAACTCAAAAAAATTTTACTTTCAATTTCGTCAAAGAAATTTTTACTTTTCACTCACTCCATGTTAATGGATATATGCAAATTTTTTCTGATGTAATTTTCATAAAAAACAGAATGCTCAAAGTCAATGGTAATTTTTCGTCCGCTTGGGTTAAATAAAAATATATTAAACTAATTCTCAACTTACTTGAAAACAATCCATACGATGTAATAACATCCAAACACACTTGCAGACAATAAGACCAAAAATGTGATCAGTAAATACCAAGGAGTATGGCGATGTTGTTTTTTAGTGTCCTCCCAATAACGATCGCAACTTAAATACCAGCAAACAGCTCGATTTAATTCACCTGAAATTAGTTTCATCTTTAGGATGTAATCGCTGAATTTCATTTTATTATCAGAATTAAAAAAATTAAAATGGCAGATTCAATTCAGTATTTCAGTATCAAAAATTTTAATACGGTGACTGAAATGTTTAAATGTTCGCGTATTCGTCTATGAATGTATAATTGTTAGTCGCCATATTGGATCCGCCATTTTGAATTTTGTAAAACTGACCTAAACCAGATTATCTACTATTATTTAAAATAAAATTAAGTTTATACGTACTTTCGACCTCCTTAAAGTCCCGTAATGAAAGATTAGCAAGAAGTCCAGCGATGCAATCTCGAACAAGAATCTATAAATAAGAACACTGTAATTAGATGATTTTTAAATCAATAAAAAATTCAATAATTTATAGGATTGCAATTAGGCTTATGGGATAATATTCGAATGAATACTGGATGAAAGTGGGCTCCTTTTTCCAATCAAATAGGAATTAACCCCCAAAACCATATTTTCGCTTCCCCTTTTAAAATATTAATCGGACAAGAAAAATTTATTTGAATATAAAATTTTTACAAACCTCGCATTGAAGTTTCAATTTTTGCAGTTCCTCTGGTTTGCAACTTGCTTTAAGTTTTCCAAGTTTAAAGGCTTTACTACGTCGCTTTTTAGACGCAACTGGATGAGCAGCCTCTACAAAATCGATACTATCTTCCTCGTCGTCGTCGTCGTCATCGATTTCTGCGTCCTCTTCATCTTCTCCTTCCTCTTCGTCACTACCCTCGCCTTCGCAAGCACTGCTTTTATTATCAGGTCCTGCTACATCCTGGCGATAGGAATTTTCCGAGTACTGAACCTCCAACGATTCTTTATCACGTTGACAGTATCTGAAAAAAATTAACTTATCAAAAATAATCATGTTTCTTATTTCCCTCATTATTATTGAATTAATTTCTTATTCAGAAATCGTCGATATAATCAATAATTTTTTCAAGTTTATTTTTGCACCAAGAAATTTTTTTTTTTCGTATTTGAAATACCTTTGTAAACTGATAAAAGAACTGCTACTATCGGAGGTTGTCTGGACTTTTTCCCCTCGATATGTTCTGGAAAGTTCACGAGAATCACATGGCGTGGATACCCTTTTCTCAGTAGTTTCTCTCCAGACTTGAATATCTGTATTTAATGTAATTGTGCCATCGACTAATGAGCTATCAAAATCATGATTGCCCAAGACATCACACCTCATTATGTCACAGTAGTCTGCAAGACAAACGGCGTCTTCTGCCTGTAAAAAGTAATTCTGCTTATCAACAAATAGTTCATCTTCATTGTCTTTGGTTACTGCAGGGTTGCCATAAAAATTTATGTTTGTTTCCCACTCTCAAAATGATTAGATACTCGAAGACATCAATAACTTCTTTTTTTAAGAGGGGACCCCTCATTTATTGGGTCAAAAAAATTGATTTTTTGGAAATAATTTTAATTGATTCTACAACTATTCAAGAATATACCTTTTAAATTTTAAGTTCGTGCACTACGTACCGTATTGATGTTACTTTTGTGCCTGTTATCGAAATGTGCGTCCAGGTGATTCTCGGTGTAAAACGACTTGCCACATAAACCGCACGTCCATTGAGAAGATCTGTGCTGATGTTTTGCCGCCTGTTGGGGATAAAATATGTCCCGACTCTCGTGGAAAGGACATTCCAAAGGCAACTCGACCTGATACTTCTTCAGAATGGGGATCCACCTCTGAAAAAAATATTTTTATTACCACAAAATTGTTTACTATTGTAAAACTTATCATTCCAAGTTATCGAGAAAAAAAGACCTAGTGGGTATTGGGACACAACTCCTAAAGTCAATTTTAATCAAAAAGTAGTGTTTATAGGACATACGATGTTTTTAAGACGTCCTAAAAAGCGTCCAATGGTTAATAATGCTCCTGACGGCTAAAGCCGCAACTAAAAACCGCTATACTTTTCCTCCTCATAGAAATAATAATAATAATAATAATAATAATAGAAAACCTCTGCCAAGTTTAAAGATGAATTTATTATGTACATTTCATGAACACTTTGCTTTCTCATGGAGATTTTTTCAATCAATAACTTCGTAATTTCTAATCGAATTAGGTTCAAAAATAGATCAATCGAAGCGTTTTTTAATAATCAACAAGTTGGTTACGAGACTTTTAAGTTTCCAAAAAAAACTATTACGACTCAAAGTACTCTCGTTTTATGTCCACACGTGAGACCTACAATTTAAACAAAATCCATCCCTAAAGCTCTTCATGATCTCGAGATATTTATGAAAATGTAAAGTTTACACACAAACACACACACACACACGGAATAACATTTTTTTAAAATGTCATTTTTGAATTCCCGAGGTCAAATAACATAAAGATATGTCAAAAATTCGAATTTAAAAAGTTTTGTTATTATAGGTACAAAAATAACTTTTTTTTCAATAACTTTTTATAAATAGGGTAAAAAATAATTAAACCTTGGGCCAATCAATGTATTTTTAAATATACTGTAAAATCCTTATAATAGTTTAATAATTAAAGAAAATTTTTTACATTATTTGACATCAGATTTTAAAAATTTTAAATGTCGAATTCAATAATATGGTGAATTGAAATTATTAAAAGTAAACGAATCTTTATAAAATTTTGTATTTATACGTTTTTTGGGTTGTAGGTTATGAATTTGAAGTCTATTCAAAATCAAGATGGTGGATAAAAATTTGTTTAGAGGTATATACGAATTTTTATAAAATTTGATATACTTGCTTTTTTAGGATCGTTGATAACAATTTTGAAGTCAGTTGGTAAAAACTCACCTCGAATAGTTGAATAATAAATGTCAATCGAATTCTACGCAATTAGAAGAAATCCCACCATGTTATGGGTAGGCCATTTTCAATGTTGAGAAACCAACTTATCAAATTCATAACAAATGATTCCAAAAACAGATACAAATTAATTTTATAAAAATTCACTAAAATTTATTTCAATACACTTTGGGGCTAAACGGGGAAAATTCAAAAATAAAAAATATTTTTTTCACTTACCTTCTGTACGATCCTCCTCACAACAGACGCGCGATCTCGTGGACATGATATTTTAAATACACTCGGCCCCGGCCAGGGTATCACAGACAAAAACAGCACCGTCAAAATCTATAACAAATTTTTATTTTCAAAAAATTAAAGACAGAAAAAAAATGCAAGCAATAATCTTCCAAATTATTATTAATTTGCAAATTGTAAAAGGAAATACATATTTGTATAAGTTTTGTCACAGAATAATTAAAGAGGATTAAAAATAAAACTTATTGTTAAACTTGAGACTGTAAAGAACGGAAGTAAAGAATAATCGAAATTCCTTCGAGGATAAATGAATTTTTAATATAAGAGCTATACGAAATTCGTGAATAGAATAAGTAACCGGAAGTGGGGTTAGATAAAGTTTGCACTTTGCTTTGATTAAACCAAAAATTTATCGAATAAAAAAAACACCATAGTAATTTTAACTGTAAGTAAATTGTAATAAGCGATAATAATTTTTATTTTTATAAAATTTACTATTACAGTGCTAAAAATTAGTTACTTTAAATATTAAAAATTATAAAAATTGTCAATAAACCATCTCTAATAATTTTTATAATGTAATTTTTTGTAACTTCCGTGTCATAAATAAATGTAATCAAACAAATGACATTCATAGAACAGGATATGCGCATTATAAATA